CAGTCCTTATTAATTATTAAATGGGAGAAACAGAATGGTTTGGCTGTACTGTTATGTATTTTGTTCATTGTTATTTATTATTTTTGTTGTTGTTGTTGTTTTTATTAATATATTTCCATGCAAAGAACAAGAGTTATCATTTGCTATTCTCAGACATGTAACATCACTCACTGAAAACGTGGCCCCTTAAGCCATAAAGAGTATGAATTTATGAGCTTTCCAATGGTACCTCAAAAACCTTGACTGAGAGCACAGATGTGCTTGTTGTACAAACAGAGAGGCATTATTAACTCTAGTACAAATAAACACTTTTAGTGTTCTTATAAAATAAACATTCAAATGGGAGAAAAGATCCTTCTTTCTCCAATTTAACTGCTTAAGTAGTGCAGGACACATTAGTATATATTACAATGCAGAGACCATAAACCATCAGAATTCCTCAATGTCCACAACAATACAGAATTTCGTTAACATAACTTCTTCATTAAAAAGAATAGAAATTACACTTTTGCAGCATCCTGCATGTAAAAAAGGATGATTATGCAAATGGCTGTGAAATCAGCTGCATTTTTAGGTAAGTAAATTATCTAATATCCAGTGCTTGACATTGTGCAAGAAGTTTTGAAACCCTGATCATCTTACAAAGCAGAATGACACTAACTTCAGAAAAGCCAGTCAATAGAGCAAAATCAAACACCTCTCCTTTTTACCATTTAGCTTTCACTTAAGCTGTTAGCATATATTAAATAACCCACCCAGACCATTTCATGTGAACATGATATGGAGCACTTTGGAGATGTCGGTCTTAAGTCAAGAGAAAGCTCTCCCAGTCAATCCAGGCATTGGCTTTTAAGCCCAGTTCCTGGACACCTCATTCCGGGTTGCTTTGTTGATCTCATCTTCTGATAAATCCCATGCCATGACATTAGTTTACTTTTATGTGTCTGTGCCTTCTGGCAATAAAAGGAGCGTTAAGGCTGATAATAGTCACAATAATAATATTTCTAATACCAAACTCAGCACTACTGCATAATAGATGATGTTTATTTCATGTCAGGAAAGTTACAAAGTGAAGTGTTTCTGATCACAGCTTTACACTACTCAGAGAATTGATCTGTCGGGACAGCAGGCTTTATCCTGCAGATGCATTCATTTGTAATCCTCTCAAGTATTCTACCATGTGACTTCAGGAGATAAAAGAGCCTCCTTTAAGGTGTATTTCCATAACCCACATTGAGTGATGCTAAGTACAGTGGTATCTCTCCCACTAGATTAACTTCTAATTATTGCAATTTCTCTCATAAAAGAGACTGTAAGAGAGCACAGCAACTCTCTACACATTCATTCTATGGGCAGAGGACATTTTATGTTAATTTACTGATTTATTTTAGACAAGAACTACAGCAGTGAGTGTCACTAAGTAGAAAATATAGCAAAACTCAATATATTCTCATCTGAGAAAATCTGACAGCAGCTCCTTTAATACTGTTCTGTTCTCAGCACTTTAATTAGTCACTTCATTTCAATAAGAAAATTCTTTCATGTTGTTCAGACCACATTTCAGCCTAGTTATTATGGCATTTCTTTGGATATTGGCATTACGCATTGTTATTACAGATATTGAAGTGTTTGCTTGAAGCTTCACTAGCACACAATATGAATTAGTACCTCTTCCAGAAATCTTCCAGTATAAACAAGTTCAAAAATCAAGAGGAAAGAGAAGCAGGAAGCATAAATAAACTAAATAATTTTTATTTCATGGATTTCTACTATCTGTTGCACTGAGCTGTCTTGTTAAACATCCATGGATGATGGTAGTGGAAACCTGTCTAGTTACACAGTGCTAAAATGGTTTTGTCTCTGTAATTTAGATGTGTTTAAAGTATATCAAGAGAAAATGAATGCAATATACAGGATTATCAATGAACGTTAGTAGAACTGCATTTGGAAAAGAACTTCTGAAAACTATTTTTGTAGATGAAACCTCTTAAATTCTTGTCTACCTTATTCACTTCTTGAACAAAAGAACATCTTTTTTTCCTATCTCATGATGATGCAATATTTGCTAAGGATGTCCATCAGGAAAGGTCAGAAAAAGGACAAGAAATAATAAAACTAAGGTATTCATTGCAAGTGGGAAATACTATTTTACGTATTTTGCAAATCCATCCTCTTTTGGTAACCTTTTGGGAACACAGTGCATACAAAAAAAATTTCTGCATGCTATCTGCAATATGACACATGCTAAAGATAACTACATGTGATAGCAAAGGTGTGAATACCTTAACAAAATCTAACTTATTTATCACGGCTTGAAGAGATCTTCATTTGAATTTGTTGTCTGTCGCAAGATTGCATATAGCTTTTAAATTGTCTCAAATATCTGCAAAATAATTTCTTGTATATGAAGGCAAATATAATTAGTGGTTTATAATATAAAGAGCACTGGAGTTCCAGCAACAGTTTGCAGGTCTTTGCTTGTTACTATGAGATGGTAAGAGTTTGCTATAAAACTTCATTTGTTGCAGTGGACTCAGTTATGTTTAAAAATCAAATAAATGGTCATAGTTATCCTTATTCCTTATGGTAGAAATAATCACAGAGGATAGGCAATAAAAAGACAGATTCTTACAGAAATTTTTCTTTATTTTCCTTCAAAATTTCATTTCCTCTATTTTGTAGTATACATCAGCTGCCTATTAGACAGTTAATCGGCTGGTACCCTTCTTTTGAATATACATCTTCACCAAGTAGTGTATTAAAATGCTAGGGAATCACTCCAATTGCACAGGTCAACATCATCCGAAACCAGAGGAGTGTGACTATCATTAACCAACAGTTTCTCAATTCTTAGCTTTAGCTGAGAATTTTGACAGAGACTGGGAAAAGCTTTCACTTCTATTTCCTTCCTCACAAGTCCCTGTCTTTATCCTCTGTCTCTAAAGCAGAAGGAAGCTTCTAATCTTTTGAAAAAATGGATTTTTGCAGAACTCTGTAGCTAGTCTTTTATGCACCAAAAAAACTTTCGCACCCATTCTGTAATGAATGAGCTTTTGGAGGCTACCACCAATGTGTTGTTAATGCTGTGGATTCAAAATATCAATACAAAGCTAAACTGAAGAGCTGCATGAAAACTTCAGACTGCCTTAAAATTTACAGTAAAAGTCTCCACTCACTCATGCTAACACAGATACAAGAATCAGCTAGAAAAGGTAGTAAGATCATTAACTGGGAATATTGCCATAGCAATTACAAGCTGTTACTCTCTCTCCTTCCACATTCAGGTGGACCCAGGTAATCTATGGGGACTGGACAAATGTCCCCTAAAATGAGAACCTCATTATCCGGGAAAGGATGTGCCCAGCCAAGTCAATGGGTGAAGTAAACCACACAGCAGCCACTGTTAGAAAGGGCTTTACAGCATTCAAGTATGCTTATCTGTGGGAGGGTGGAAACAGAGGAAGAGAAATAAAAACATCACCTATCTTCAGGAAATATCCAACAAGGAATCAGGGACATCTTAGTTATAGAAAAAGGAATACTTCCTATAGAACCAGTAACAATTGAGCTACACAGCTGGAAACCTGCTTTTATTTCTGCCTCTGAAAACACAGGAGCTCTAAATCTCATGTCTTCCGCAAAACAGTTCAGAGCCAGTAGAGCAATCTCAGCCACTCCGATCTGCAGGAAAACTGAAGAGCTTCCAGGAAAACCACCTGATCCCCACTGACACACAGAGCTGCTATTATTTACTGCTCAGTGAGACCAGCAAGTGATTATACTCAGTGAAGAAAAATGTTTTAGGTCTAAGTAATTATTTTACCAATGACCTTAAAATATCCCCGTTGTTAGTTTTACTTGCAGAGGGCAGTCTCTGTAATAGGATCAGGCAGTATGTTTCTTCATGCCAAGTCACTGAATGCTAAAATGATTTGTCATCTTTTGCCACAGGCCATTGCCTGACACACACATGCCACAGTCTAATGTCTCGCCTGCTTTGACATCAAAGTGTCTTCCTTCGGCCATTACCAACAAGAAGAAAGGCAAACAATGGCAGCAACTTCTGTTCTTTCTGAGAGAGTTTTAATTAAATAAATGGTCTCAAATAGCTTAGTGGGACTAAGGCAGGGGGGAAAACCTGTCATCATAAAATGTATTAAATCTATAAATCTTGCTTACTCTCTCCCCATGCAATTTTTTTATTTACTTCACAGTCACATTATTTCATTCTCTGTAGAGATTTATGACAACATTATATGACATCTCATGGGCTTTCACAGCCTATCATCTTTTACAGCTCACTCATAATGCCATGGGCAATAAAAGACAGATTTATTCTCATTTTACAAAGGGGAAGGGGGAAAGAAGTCCTGTGCAGATCCTCCAGTTGCAGAAAGGTTTTCACATGCTGAAATATACCATTTTGAATTGGTTCACTGAGACTTTTGGTATCAGCAACTCCACCTGTTTTGAGGGATGGGTGATTTCTACAGCATACTCCAGAGTCCTGATTTCCCAATTCAAATCAACAAGGCAACAATATAGCAAAAGGTGTGCTCCAAGGTGGGATCAAGGTGTAGCTGGGGTTGCAAAAACTCTGGTTTGGTGGGGTTGTCTTCGGTCTTCCTATTTAGATGTAGTTGGTCAGTGCTATTCACTGATGTGTCTTCACAGAGCTGGTTTAGAGAGCTCATACTTTTCAAGAGAAGTCTCATAACAAAATGCTCCCTTCTTGTCCATCCCATCTTGAGGAAAATAAAATACAAAAAACTGTATGTACCAGCCAAACCATTGCAAAATTCTTTATTCAAATGAAAGAGGTCCTTCTGATGGCAAGTGGCGTTATAATTATAGACTAGAAAAAAGCAAGATCAGCAGCTGCTGCTGCTGCTGCTGCTTGCGTTTGTTCCCTCTGTAACTGACAGGACAGAGTACTTGGCAAAAACAGGCTTCCAGAAGTGGAAAGACATTTTAACCCCTGTTCTTGTCAGTCCACTTCTCCTGGGGCTCGGCAGCAGCAACCCCTTGCTTCAGGTTAAGGGAAGAGCAAGGTGACTATTGCAGATCTGAAGGGGACTTTGTTTGGGACGTCTGAGAAAGAGGAAGGGTCCAGGATTTACTTTCGGGCTTGGATTGCCGAATCAAGATAGCAGGTCAGTGGATATAGTGTGAGCTTAATATGTTTTTACAGTTGGCTTAACTCAAATCTCTCTCATTCACTTTCTCTCCTATGCCATGAACCAAGAAATAAGGTGATACAACAGAAAGGAGTAGGTCTGTGTAGAGGCACTATTTATTTATACATTCGGTAATGTGCCTTTCATGGTCAGTTAGGGAACACTGATGGCTGTTACTTTTTACTGTGGTTTCTCTCTGAATCCTAATATATCCTGAAATTCTCAGCTAGACAAAAATCCCATTTACAGTTGAGCTCAATATTAATGGGGTGGGACACACTTAATTTTTAGGCGTTTATGGCTAAGAAGTCTTCTGATGATCTCAGCAAAAGTGGAGGAGTAATATATAACTCACATTTCAACCTGTGGTTGAGAAAGGTTCAGAGAGGGAATAAACACTGAGTAAAAGGAAAAGCAACATCACAGATATGAGTCAAGGTGTCTACAGGCAGCAAATGGGCATGACTTGTACTATGTCCCCAAAACTCACAAATCCATACCAGCCTAGCCCTACATCTGCTAATGAAGTTAAAGGCAACACAATTAATAGGAACATTTTTCCTAACACCAGTGTCTGTGTTATCTAATGTGCTCTGTCCTTCAGCCCTGGCCAAAACAGTGCTCGGGAAGGAATGTGCCAGGGGGCATCATTATGCTTTGCTCTTCCGGTTCTTTAGCTTTTTAATTTCCTGTGGCCATAAGTAATGTAATGTTGGAAGGACTCTCAGTCGACATGCTGCCCATGAACCAAGGGCTTGGGACCACTGTGCAAGGACCAGGCTCAGCTCAAGGCTTTACACCAAAACTTCCCATTGCATGGGGAGGCCATACCCAAGTGGTTGTAGTTGTTTCCAGACAACAGAATTCTCCAGAATTCTATCTTTCATAGTTTCGTACAGTCCAAAGCATTCTATAATCACCTTATCTGACCTAATGTATATTTTAGGACATTGAATTATATTATCCTGAAGTCCTTATATGAACCTAATGATAAATGTTAAATAAAGCATTTGCTTAGCAGGAAACTAAAACACAGTGCACTAAGGCAAAGTAGGGCAGGGAAACCAAAGCATCAAAGCCTGACATTGCTCTTACAGTCCCACTTTTATTTACCCCATTTCAGAGGCAGAAAGAAAAAGCAGGGGCATCCAGTGCCTCCAAAGTTAATAAGAGTTTCTATTCAGAGCCAGTGGCATTGAGTTAAGCGCTGAGAGAGATGGCTGGGATGTGATTAAGTAAAATGTAGTTGCTTGAATCAAGCAGACAAATGGATCTCATTTCCTAGTCCAGTGCAGAGAGGAATATTCTTAATCCTGAATCCTATTATCATTACAGCTCTGCATTTGTGGCCAAAACCCATCCACTAGGCCTTGCAAAACAGGATTTGCTTCAGTAGAGGAGGAGAACTCATTTTGTCCAGCTTAGCTACTGACCAGTTACTGGCAGTTCCAGTCACTGGGATGCCTGGGAGGAGTTAATCCTTCCTGAACCCCATGTGCAGAAACTGAGAACTGTGTTTTTGACACTAATCACTGCCTTCCTGCAGAGCTGCAGATGCTGCGAGGGTGCTGCAAGCAATCTTGTTCCCTCCATGATGCACAACAGAAGAAGCCTCACAAAAAGTTTAACAGATACCCAGATACTAGGGGAGACAAACAGAGCCCTCAGACCCAACCCTGTGTGTCTCAGCTCTGTGAATTCTTCTGTCCAACTATCTGCTCTCAGCTTAAAGACCCTAAACATCAGGGTGTCTATCCAGTCCTGTGTTCTGACATTTAGTTGCCCCCACGGTTAGCAATTTTTGTTTTGCTTCATCCTGTATTTGTCTAACTTCATCATCTCATCATGGCACTGTGTTACACTGAGGGTCTGGGTTCCTGCTAGGTTGTAAGCCCTCACATTATCAGATATCTTTTCAAAATCTAAGAACTCCCTACATGCAGTCAGTCCCACTGGAGATTTCCATTATAAATTGCATACCAGTGGGGAGACAGAGACACACTCACTAATGATACAGCTTGAACACGCATACTCCACAGCATCAATGGCCACGGCCTAAAGCCTCCTAGAGTGATCCAAGGAAACTCAGTGTATTTTTAAGAGTTTTTTTTTACCCTATTCCTCCCCTACAGCCCAGCCACAGATTTCTTTCATTGTTTGTAAAGCCCCATTTCTGATGGAGGATGGACATTTTTTCCATTTTCTTAAGCGTTGAATCCTGACCACAGGATTTTTAGCAGACAGGACTGTATTTCTGCATTCCAGTCAGCCAGTTTGGCTCCTGAATTGAATTTCATGGAGTACAGCAATGACAAAAAAATTTAAAGGTCTGTGCTAAAGCACAGGGAAAGGAAAGCTATCATGTGGATACTAAAGAGTAAAACCCATATGTCTTAAAAAAAACAACAACAAAAAATAATCTCCAATCCCAGACTGGTGAACCTCAAGTAGCCATTCTGCAGAAGAAAAGAGACAGCCTGTCAGTAGTACAAGGCTTATGGTGTCTTTTCCCTACTGATTCCCTTGGCAGCTAAAAAAAAAAGTGGCGCTTTTACTGCTGAATTTTGATGGCATACTTTATGCTCTGCATCAGAGACAGAGCCAAGTTGCATAAAATACTACCAAGTCATCTATTAACTAGGGGTTCAGATTTTTTTCCCCCAAGTATAAATGTCCAACAGTGGCATCAAGAAAATATAGACAAGAATCATATTTGTGAAACACAGTAACTGTCTGGAGGTGCTCGTCTTAGTTACTCCCTTTTTGCATGCTGTGTAAAACTTCTTTCACCCACGTTTGGAGTTGGGATTTTTTTGTAAGCACATCAAAATTTCTGTAACATCTCCCTATACTGGGTAAGCAAGTAACAAACCCAGCACAAAGTATTTTACCTGTGTACTTTCAGTAGTACTTTAATTATACTGTGTTGCACCCTGCCTACCTGAGCAACCCTATGGTCTGTTTTGCATGGCCATGCAATGCTGAAATATTGATGAGTAAGTCTGGTAAGTCAAGGTGAGAAACAACAGAGTTCTCCAGCTGATCTCAGCTGCTGTCATAACTGGTAATGAAAGAGGCAGTCTCCAAATCTCATTTGTTTTTTAGATTATTATAATTACCAAGCCAGCTAAAAATACTGGCTGGGGAGGAAGGTGCATTTGTGTAATTTAGCTTTATTTCTCTTACCAAGAAACTGAGAAGTTTTGAAAAAAATTTCAAGCAAATTTACTTGCTATACTTTGCTCGCAGCAGACTGGAGCAAACTGAGAGCAACCAGAGACCTCAGAGGTGTAACATGTCTCTGCCACTGCCATCCAGGAAAGTGGCCACATTCAGTGCTAACTATTGAGTTTGGGTGGTCTTTGAGGTAAAGCCCAAATACAGCCTTGTATCAGTCAATCTGCAGGGACGGACTCAATAGGGCTTGTAACTACAAGATTTTTATTTCTCTCTCTCTTTCTATATATATATGAATACACACACCATGTATTTATGTACACTTTTATATATTTATATGTGCATGTATGTCTATGTATCTATCTATACAAGGGTGCATTCAGGCTAGGATATGCTGTCTAAAATGTTGTTGGTTTCCTGCTTCTCTTCTACTGTTTCTAGGCACAGCCTGCCAAGACGATGACAGTCACTTATTCCAGCAAAGTAGCAAATGCCACTTTCTTTGGATTTCACAGATTACTCCTAAGGTGGAAAGGCAGCATCTACAAATTGCTGTACAGAGAATTTATTGTTTTTGCTACTCTTTACACAGCGATAAGTGTATTATACAGGTACACTCTTTCCAATTCACATCTCATTAAATGTTATACTGAAGTTTCACACTTCCTAGTGTTAGGCTGATGAGTGATGGGGGGAGGTTACTACGTAATTATTATCTTTTCCTTGGACTTTTTCTAATGTGCTTTCATTTCCATGTTTAGTTTACTGTTCCAGATACAGTACGTAGAGTGTAAATTCTATCATATTCAGCTTATTGTATTTTCAGCCCAGCATTGAGCAACTATCCTACTGAAGTTACACTAAATAAACACTCATAGCTAGCCTAGGTTATACAGCCTTTGTTGTTCTGATATTGAGCTGGAGGGGAGGTGAGTGTGCCTCCCTGCTTTAGATGATCAGTTATTCTCCTTGCAGAACTCTTCAGCTAGTCAGTAGTAATTTATTTAACAACCCCAAGAGGTAATAAGTTGAGAGTCAGGTTACATAGCCAGGAAAAGCAAAGTTTTGCTTAAAGCTAGAAAGGCATGCAAACCTTATTTTTAGGCTTGCAGAGAGCCAAGGAAAACTACATGGAAGCCAGATATGGTTATTATCTGTGTGTCATCCAGCACTTGGGAGGATCAGTTAGAAGAGTTGCTTCTTCCACCAAGGTGTGAATTAAACAGCTGTATGACAGATGGAATGCATCAATTAGTACAGTGAAACTTTTAATTGACAAAGTACACTACACAGAAGTATCAAAATCATGATTCAGCTCTTACCATGATCCATAATTATACCTGTCTGCTTTTTATGTGAAGCAAGGAGAAAATGAGCTTCAGTTTGTCATTAATCAGTAATTTTCCAGAATGTTCAGTAATCTATACCTGTAAACTCAGAAAGAAAATTACAGTATTAATATGTAAGGAAACAACAGTCTCACATTCATTTAAATTAATCTAGTTTTACTGAAATGTCAGGCAATTGAAGACCATGGTAAATACACCATGGGAAGCTTTCTATGTGTGCTCCAGCTTTTATTGCACAATTGTAAACAAATCCCATTGAATATTTGTTATATGTTTCTTTTCTATGAAATCAAGGAATAACTGTAATAATATTCATCTATACAATTTTTAAAAAGTTTGTATTTAAGCTTGTATTTTGTACATATCTTTTCCCATGGGCAGCAGTTGACACGGTCCGGTCAATTTGCTATAATTTGGTGAATATTTTCCTCACTGCAAAATAAATACAATTGTTGTATTTTTAATCTTACGGAAAAGAAAAATTTCAAAGGAGTCAGAGTAAAAAACTGCTGCAACAACATGACATTTTCAAATAGGAGCAATTAGAGAGATTGGTAACCTTTTGCAATTCAAGCAGACCTGAGTATTAAGTACCCCTCTGAAAAATGAGAGCAAACTCTACTTGCAGACTTACAGTTTACTATCATCTTTGGTTGGTATGAGACAGCAAACTGATTCTCCCCAGGTATGTTGATTCTAACTAGTAGTGCCAATCAACTTAGTAATAATAAAACTGCAAAGAGCAGGGAATACTGTCTTCTCCTCCAGCTTCTTTAATACATGCCAAAAGTGTTCAGCATGTTGCCTTTAAGAATTTGCTTGAAGACATTAGCCAAGGTTGCTCCCCATTGCACATACCTGATTATTTATACATATTTGCACTTTGTAGCTAGTGCCAGAATATTATGAAAGGACAAATACATTTTATTTTTGCTGCAGATTTTTTCTTACAGGTAGCCAAAAAAAGGTTCTTTGAAAAATTATCAATTTACTGTGACAAATATGCTGAACAAATCCCAGTAACTTTTGTGCTTGGTAAGTACCGGTTACATGTGAAATTTTTCTCCAACACTGTCTCTGTTCACGCATTTCGTGAATGTCCATGCATGGAAGCATTTCAGAGCTGAGGGGCATGTGGGATGTTAGAGGCTCACAATAAATCATCAGCTTCTAACAGGTCTCCTTAAATTCAAGTTGCTTTTGTCACATCAACACTTATGCTTATGTTCTTAATATACCAACAAAAAAAGTTTCCATATATGTGTGTGTATATATATATATGTATATATATTGACAAATAACACTGATACATTATGCCTGATCTTTCAAGGCACTAAATCCACTTAAGTTTCACTACAGAAGAGGAAATTTGGAGGTTCATGGGTCTGATATACTCAGCTGGAATGTGCCATTAAGTTGCAGTGTCTATTAAATAATTAGCACTGATTGCATTCTGGGCTTTGACATGACTTACTGTGTTTATTCTGGGAAATGTAGCAGCTTAGTGTTACGAATAATACTCTGCAAACTAAATCAAAGTAACCCAAGCAGAAATCCTGATAGGCACTGGACTTTTTTTTTCTTCTAATCCCCAGGTTTCTACGTTACTTTGGTGGTGAATCGCTGGTGGAACCAGTTTGTGAACTTGCCATGGCCAGATCGTCTGATGTTCCTCATCTCTAGCTGTGTCCAGGGCAGAGATGAATATGGGCGCTTGTTAAGGAGGACTCTGATGCGTTATGTGAATTTAACATCTCTGCTGATCTTTCGCTCTGTGAGCACAGCCGTGTACAAAAGGTTCCCCACCATGGACCATGTGGTAGGAGCAGGTATCAGAGTCCTGCTCACAAAATTGCTTTCCTTTCCCTCAGAGGAGGGGGGGCTAAGGGAGGGAAGGAGCAGACTCATTTTTATTTTCCTCTGTGGCCCCATGTGTGCCCCATACTAACCCATGTCAGAGCAGTCACCTTTGTGTTAGTGACTTAAATTGACGAGACCTTAAGCATGCATCTTTAATACTCCTAAAGTCTTCATTTAGCAACACTATAGAAATCAAATGAGTCTAAGACTCTTATGTGAATCTTTTTTCAGACACAGTGGAGGCCATAGGTCTGCCCCAAATACTCAGGCATGTGGAACAGGTATAACGTTCTCTAAAGCATGAAAAATAACAAAGCAATATAATATGATGCAGTAGGAGTGGTAGCTTGTTATATAGCGTTGCCTCAATGTCTAGGATACAACTTTTTCTCATGTAAGCACCTCACAAGTACAGCTTTATCTCAATTTATTTTAAGTAGACTGCATTTTAAGTAGATTGCACATTTTAAGTTGTAATTTACTTTAAAAAACCCTCAGCTCCAAGGGTTTTTTCTTTAAATTTAAAACCTTACCTTAGTTTTTCAGCAATAAATGTCCTAAGTATTAAGCATGTCTTCATTTTCTGTGTTTTGATAACACAGTGAGTGTGATGATAGTGAAGGGAGTTCAGTCATGTAACCCTTTGTTTGTCTATGAAGGACTGACCACTGACTATTTAAAGGCAAGGTTGTGACACTGTGCCTTCTGACTGGCATAGTCAGAGGTAGAACACCAGTGCTAAGATGTGGGGATCTGTTCCAAATAGGAGAAGTCATATGTTTTTTACTGAATGTCTTTCATTTCTTAAATTTCTTCCTCTGGCAGAGATTAATAAGCAAAGTTGCAGCACTTTAAAATATGCAATGTATATATACATATGCACATTTCAAATATGCGTGAGAATCCTTGGATATTAAAAAAAAGTCCAGGCAGGATGCACCAATCTTATTGGGAAAAAAATAATTTATTTTGGATTCATTGGATTTTGAAGCTCTTTTCCTTGTGCTGTGCAACAACAGTGTTTACCTGAGCCTATGAGAGATCAAGGAAGCTTCTGTCACTCTCCCCAGCAACCTGCTTCTACTACGCACTGGAAAATTACAGAATTTCCAGGCAGCTAATCCAGCTCTGCCTCCCTATTGCTAAAGACAATCTGTTCCAAAAGAGACAGAATGTCACAGTCTTGTACAAAAATTGTAGACTGGAAAACAAGTTTTGGTTGTTGAGTTTTTTTAACAGTGGAAAATATTTCACTATAAACTGTATATCTAAGTATTGATAGTGTAGTCAGCTCTGGATTTCACTCTTCCTTCTGTTCGTTTTAATGCATATTGTGATGCAGAATTTTTATTGATGCAATACTGAGCACTTCAGGGTATATTTTGCTCCTATTAACATCCAGTGATTTAGACAGTAATCTGCAATCATCCCCTCCCTAGCTCCCTGTGGCATTACATATCAGACTGCATGGGAGGGAGGCATTTAATATGAATGTGAGCAGCAGAATGTGATACTTACAGCACAGTCATCATTGAAACAACTTGTGACGATTTTGCATTTTGCTGTCAAACTGCAAACTGCCACAGCATAACTATCATTACACATTTCTCTTTTCAGCAAATGAACTGTTTAAATTCATAGATTTTAAATCTGAGAACAGTATCACAATAATCTAGTCTAACTCATCCATAACACAAGACACAAAAACTTACTAACAGCATCCTTTATCATGTTGCAATTTCTGACTAAGCTGTAATATCTTCTAGGAATACAACCAGTCCAGATTTAAAATTCAGCTGGATATACTGGAGTCTACAGTGCATGCTAGGTGAACAGACATTCAGTGAATTTGCTGTTGAAGAGGGCAATCTTATTCTCAGTCTGAACTTGCACAGTCATCTTCTATTCACTGGATTTTGTGATGGATTTGGGTTCTTCTTTTTTTTTTTTTTAATTAGATGGAAACGCCATTTTCCTCTCAGTAGTGCACAAAGGCTTGAATAACACTCAATAGCTTCACCATATATGGTCTCTCCCTATAGGATATGGACTTCAGTGCTGGACCTTCCTCCTGACTCGTTTTTATATTCTAACATTTTCTGTGGAACTGTAGGCAGTAGATGCAGGTAGATTCATGACATTGTGATGCTGAGTGCTGCAGCACGTATACCATAAGTGTCAAATGCCTAGTAGCAGTCCTGAGATAGCACTTCTGTTGGCTGCAAGGTGCAAGGGGGAAAGCTGGATGCTCAAGATCACAAGTCTTAAAAAACAGAGAAAAGAGTGAGCCACTGGTCAGAGAACCACCAAAAAGAGTTGATAGGAAATGCTGAAGAGAAACAGGAGTGTGAGTTCAACAGCAAAAGTACCTAAGGATGGCTGAAGTCTGCAGTCTCAAATCCTCCACTGGAAGGAAGCATCTAGATTAACCCTTTCCCACATAACACAGAAGCAGAAAGTGTAACTTTTATCTACATGCTCATTGTTCCTTCTTCTGTAACTGCCAGTACTCAGAATATTTGATATAGATACCCTGAACCAGTCTTATCTCAAACCACTCAGTTTTGTCAGGAAAACTGAATACTCTTCTAATCACTTGAGGAAGAGCATGAGTGATTTTTTTTTTTTCCAGCCAGGCTTGTGTTCTCATCAATAATTATCCCATAAGATCTCTTTGGTTGGCACTGTTCACATTAGTGCCCTTTGATTCTTTATTGATTGCACCCCATGTCAATCTTCTCATACTTCCACAAGGATTCAGTGCCCTGTCATTCCTTAGATCATCCTTTTCAAGATCTTGGCACAATATTTGACAAATATTTCTGGTTTTCTGGAGCTGCTCCAGCCTTCCAGTGCTTGTCAAATCCAGTGTTCTTTAGAGAGTTTCTCAGTTAATTCTTTAAATACTCCTAAAAACAAATAGGATGACCACATTTAGAAAACATGTAATTTTAATAACTGAGGTTTGATATCCTCCCCTGTATTTGATGGAATATGAAGTGTTTCTTTACCACTGCAGTAACAGCAAGTGGTTCAGAGCTGCATGTTGTCTGTATTGCGGTCACCTTCACCAGTATTTTCTGCAATAGGAATACTAGGTCTAATGTCAAATTGAACTTTATTGTTAGAAGAACTAGACTTTGTTGAGCTTTCCTGAACAAAAGGTACCCAGTTTCAGTGGAAAGCTGAACTGATCCTTGGAGCTTTGTCATTCTTTGTGACACCCCTCAGGCTGTGTCCTTCCAGATAATGACTTCCCAGAGCCTCCAAGTGACTTGCATCCAGTATTTACTCCAGACTGTTATCCTGTCTGTCTGTTTCAGCCTGACAGAAACATCTGTTCCTGTCCTGTAATGATCAGGCTGGCCAGATAGAAATGGAAGCAGCCTGAAAGACTGAATTTTAGGAGTCACGAGTCATGACTAGCAGGTCAATTTTTCTGGTTGCCTGATTATTTCTGTACAGTTGATTATGAGAACTGGCTACAAACTGCCCAGAGACCTTTTAAAAGCTTTATCTTATTCTGCTCTCAAATTCCAGGATACTGTCTTGCTGCAGGAGTATTGTCTTGCTGCTGAACTCTATCACAGAATATTCTGTCCTGTCCTTGCCTTCCTTCTCAGTAGTTGCAGTATTTCAAATCTCCTGTGTTAACTTGTTGCAACTGCACAACAGCGACATCTTCCTCAACAACAGAATATTTAAGAAGGTCACCGTGTTTAGCAAATCTTCTTTATCCTTATTCACATTTTTATATGAAACAACTAAGTTTCTGTATATTTATTTTTTTGCTGCCTCATCTATCTTTAGCAATGTTAGCAACCATGGACATATTCTCAGTTACTAGCTGGAGTCTACTTTCAATTCTCTTATTGAATTTTCAGCATTCAAACTTGTAATTGATTGGCTGAGCCACTTATTTTGGGGCTGTCATGTTACTAACTTTGTCCTGCTTCAGAGCTAATGTCAACACAGCAAAAGAAGCTTTATACCCACCCTGTTAGATGACACACACCTGAGCAAAAATTAAGATCCTCTGAACCTGAAGATTGCTCCAATCCCACAAAATCCAGGATTTGGACAAAGGAAAATGGGAATTTTCTGAAGTTGCTTTTATCCAAGGCTAGGTGAAAGGAGGACAGCAGAGCAGAGCTTTCTGCTCCAATGGGGAAGAGGTGTTGCTCCAAAGCCCACCTGCTCCCTTGCCAAGTCCCAGGCAGCAGTTGGCTCTGATGCAGGTTTTGTCACACACAGCCCTGGCTCCCCTGATATCTGACCATGGACTTTCTTGCAGCAGGGAGAAGAAGGATTTCACAAGGCAGGGGAATCTTCAGGAAACATAATACCTTCCCAGCACCCGAGCAAGGCAAATTGCCAGGCAGAGAGCAGTTTCAGCCTGCAGTCCCACAGCATGTCACTTGGCCCATTGTCCCATTAGCAGCGGGATTTCTGTTCATGATTCCCCTTCTGTCTCTTTGCATGCCTTCATAAGCCCAAAGAAAACATGAAACAATCTGGCAGGGAAGTATTTTGCTAGCAGAAGGTACGCTCTCTTGAGCTCTGTTTCGTGAATGCACTTGTATCCTCTGTTGCTTGCTCACTGCTTTGCAAATTTACCAAAAAATTATCAGAACCAGAAGGTCATGTAACTGCCCTTACAACATATGTTGAGATGCTGCTGAAAGCTGTCATTGCTGAAAAGTGAGAGTTTCTTGACTGATATATCCTGTTCCTTATTTTTCTGAAAGCAGAATATGAAACTAGAGAGTAATTTTTACAATTCTTAACATCGTATGTATCTACAATATGTCAGCAGTCAGATATGAGAACACAGTAATAGCAAATTATTGCCTGTATTGGTAACGAAGAATTTTGCATAGGTAGTTAAACATGTTGTTTCAAGCAAGATCTATCTTGACAAAAAAAAAAAAGCTAAAAAAAAAAAAAGGAATAGGTTACTAGTTAGAATTATAAATTGTGCTAAGAAGAGTTCTATGCAAATATCACATGAACAGATTCAAACATATTCAAAATTTATAGTATCAGTAGCACTGAAAGCACAGAATAAACTTACTTTTTTTGGTAAACAGGTTTTATGACAAGATATGAAAGAAAACTTTTTGATGAACTTAAGTCTCCCCACCTGAAATACTGGGTACCATTTGTGTGGTTTGGAAATTTGGCATCAAAGGCACGAAAAGAGGGAAGAATTCGAGACAGTGTAGATCTGCAGACACTGATGAATGTAAGTAGAAAAAGTAAATCCACAGAAAACTAATCTGAAATTGCTATGTGGTAGCTTTTCACTCACATAATTGATTTTATTTAATGTGCACAGATCCCCTGTGTCATCTAAATTATCTTACTCAGGATTTATCCCACTTTTGATTGTGTACCAATGTACACTCAAACACACACAGCAGCAGACTGGTGGGATTCTTTTTATATGACTAAGAAGGTATTAAAAGAAGCAATAAATTGATGAGTAAAATATTATTGTAACATCACTGTAAGTTATACTTGTTCTGTTGCTGAGAATATGAGAAATGAGAATAATGTAGCATTTTGAAGATTTTAATATCAGTTACAGGGAAGATAATCTCCCTGAATATTTCATTAAGTGGTAAAACATCCTTTTTATGATATAATATATCCTCTTTCATGTATCACTAGACTGGGGATAAGATAGAAACAGAAGACAGTTTGTGAAGAAATACATAATATACTAAGCATTCCAACTCCATAAACCAAGTGAATATTCAAAAGGGGTGCTGGATATAGTTATGGTATCAATTTATATATACTAGACTTCCATATCTCCCTGTCCTTTTTATATGTGCAAAAATGAACGGTCACAAAATATTTATAATTCATAATAGTATCCCATGCAATTTTATTTTGTTGGAGTTTGTTGGGTTTTGTTTGTTTGTTTTTCCCCTTTAGGAGATGAATAAATACCGGTCTTGGTGTAGCCTTTTGTTTGGTTATGACTGGGTTGGAATTCCACTGGTCTATACCCAGGTACTGAGCTATTTTCCTTTAGTAAATTCGAAACATGATTTCCAAAAAGGGGAGGTTGGTACAAAACATTCATAGTCTCAACCAGAGTCTCTGAGCTATGGAGCACTGGTTCAGTCCTGCGGGACCGTGTAGGCCTTGCTAACTATTTAAGTCATATTTAATGCAGAGATGTTTTGAAGATCTTGCATAGTTTGGAAGAGGGGAGGGAAGAACTGAAATGTTTTTATGTTTCCTGGGTGTTCTTCCTGGCCATAATTATACCTGTGGCCTTTCTATTTGCAATATCTTCCTACAGATTCATAAATTACATGGCAAAAGGCAGTCACAGCCCTTTGAGTATGTGTTGCTTTGTGCATAAGATTGTATTATTCCAATGTATTATTTCAATGAAGTTTTGTTCTTTGCAGGTTGTTACTCTCGCAGTCTATACGTTTTTCTTTGCCTGCCTGATAGGGCGCCAATTTTTGGATACTGACCAAGGGTATCAGGGCCATGACTTAGATATTTACATTCCAATCTTCACACTGTTACAGTTCTTCTTCTACGCAGGATGGCTCAAGGTAAACTAGCTTTCTGGAAAGGTGATGGGGGAACCCTCTCTATGGGGCTGGTCAAGGTGTCAGATCTGTGACACACTGTAAAATCACCAGAGATTACTGGAGTTACACCAAAGCTGAATTCAGCCCTAAGTGTTCTGTGGTCATATAGACACATCACACAATACATCTTTAATTCCACCTGATTGTACAGTAAGAAATGGTCATGAACCTGAAAGAGCCCATTTGAGTAGCACCAATGCAGCCACAACACCGCAAGGGAATATTACCCAAAAAAATCAGGTCTCAGGACCTGGCCTATAAAACAACGGATGAAAGATTAAAAAAAAACCTTTCTCCCACTCCACTGTTCAGTGGGGAAATACTGCTCCAGACCTGGTGTTGGCTGAAAGGGACTGAATCATAATTTCTTCTTATAATCAAAGCCAGCCTCTAGTATCAGCTGTTAACCTCATCAGATGCAGGCAATTAAAGGTCTCCAGTTCCAGGGGGCTATGAAAGAGTGACAGCCAATATTGGCTACAATTCCACTACATAAAAACATTCATTAAAAACAGTTATAGAAGGAATTGGATGCTGCCCATCAGCCCATTGATGACTGCTAGGTTAATGTATCACCATCAATCTGATAGTTGAGTAATTAAGCCAGGTATCTCAAGGTGATTCTCTCCTCTACAGTAGACTAACTGGAAAAAAGTTTCAGATAAAAATCAGATTGGTACATAAGGGGCTGTGCACATTAATATTTCCTTTTGTGTTTATTTATCATGGCTGGAAACTTAGAGGAAGCTTCTCACTTTTCTGTCAGAGGAAACTTCTGACTTTTCTGTTAGAATATACATTGCACAAAATTTTCCAGTTTTAGAGACCCTTCCCCCAGCCAGCTCCAAAGAGTAGAGTAGGGAAGACAGCATACCAAGCTGGGAGGTTGTGAGGGAGGCTGCAGGGCAAGCTACTCTAGTCCTGTGTCATAGGAAATCAGGGGGGAAAAGGGGGTTGCTGCATAGGAACCATCCCAGATGGGAGCAGGAGAGAGAGGAAGGGAGGCTGGTGCACTGAGGGTAGCAATTTCTCCTGGAGAAAAGTGAGGCTTTATCTCTAGGCAACGTCTTCCAGGGTTTTACTAGTGGGTTACAAAACTAAGCTGTTCCTCTTGACTGCCCTTCTGGTGCTCTTGAGGGGCAATGGTTTCCCCTTCACCAGCACCGAAGGATGTTAGTAGCATCTCTTCCAGTTAGGCTCAGGGCTTGCAGCCAACTCCTGGCTACAGCAGGTATGAGATGCCATTGTAACTGAAAAATCTTCTGCATAAGGAAATGAAAGGGAGGAGAAGAAGTTTTAAAAAGCTAATTTGATATCAGCAGTGTTCCCTGAGACTGGAGGTTCATCCAAACCTTCAGTGCCCCAAGTCAGGATATTTGTCTTGAAGGTTACAATCGGTTTCCTGCTGAGTGTGTTGGCCTTTGGCTGCCAGGCAGCAAAAAGGGCCCTGAGATATTGACTTCCAGTAATATGGCAATTCCTCAGAAATAATGGCTAAAATGAGCTCATTCCTTGGCCTCAAGCCTGGCCTGTTATACCTACAATACAGGGCCAAAATTTCCCATCAGGTGAGACACTTCTAAATCCCCATTTTCGTTACAGGGATAGATGGACTGTCCAAATACAGAGTTTAGTTGACCAGCACTACATTCCTTTCTGGAGAATAAAGCCTTGTCTCACATTCCAGGATCAGGTCAGCCAAACAAAAGGCCACCACTGCTGTTCCTTCTGTCCCAGTGCTGCTCACTTTTTTAAGCTCATGTGACAGTTTTTTGGGTGGTGATCTCTGCTTCACATAAAGCTGATCCAGAGCCACAGCACAGACTGTGTTCTGGTTCCTTCCTATTGCAGCACTTTCATAGCTATACCCAGAACTTAATAACATAGGCCCGGTTAATGAGTATGAGCAGAGGTGCCCCTGTCTTCCTTCATTCCTCCTTACATGTGTTTTCATAGGGTTAGTGTACTCAGTAGGTCCTTTGTTATCTTCCAGCACTGGTCTGGGAAGTGGTGGACTGGAAGAGTCAATTTACCCATGGGCACAACCTAGGGACACATAGGAAAAATACCCAGGGAGCAACTACCTTACTGTTATATGTTATTTAGATCATAGCTGTTCATAGTGAGGTTAATGAGGAGGACTGTTTAATCATGAAGCTTCTTTGCCCATATGCACATTAAATCAATGATTGATTGCTGCTTCTGGTCCTGGTGACCACAAGGAAGGCTTGGAAGGGTCATCAAGAATGTCATTGGCTTCAAAAGTGGGGCTTAGAAAGACAAACAGAAGGAGAAAAGCATGGAAGGGAGAGGATATTTAACCTCAGTGTACCAAGGAAGTAAGAAATAGAGAAACAGACTGCATTTCCTAAAACCTTTTTTTTATAATTTTCCTGTTTCATCCTTTTTTTTCCTCCCTCAGCAGCTATGTGCTTTCTCCCCACAATGTACTTTGGTGATCATGGGGATGAAGGGGCAGTCTCTGGTTGTTTTTCTACTGGATGAGGGCAGCCAGAGAGGGTTCTCTTCCCAGACTCATTCCCAGAATAAGGTGCCTCATCACCAAGGTGCCTGAGCTCACTCTTTGCTTATCTCCTCCACAGGATGGGCTTCTGCCCTGCAGTTTCGATCTCTTCAGGTAGAGAAACCCAAGCCAGAAGGCTAAATTAAAGAACAGACTTTGATTCTATCTCTTGGATTTGGCTAGCATGATGCATGGAGTCTGCTTGAGTTAAGGTTTTTGTGGGTTGCTTTTCCTGAAAAGCTGTGGAAGGGTGCCATTAGGATTAACCCTGATAAAGAAGCTGGGTCTGAGGGCTGAGCTGGAGAGCCAAGCTCTACTCCATCCAGCAAACTCCAGCTGCAAGGCTTGGGAATACTGACCCAATGGGCTGGTAGACTATCATAGATAACAGTGCAGTAACAGAGCCCCTAGCTGCTAAACCATTTATTTAAATGAGCCAAAGACAACAGTAAGGAAAGGTAATGACTATCTTATGTGACAATTACCCTGGGCCAGACATGTCTTGATTCCCAGTAGGCCAGCACCAACAATCATGACTGACAGCACCAGCAAGGCAGAGAGTTATGAATCTATAGGGAAAGCGAGCTCTTCCTTTGCTAGGCTGGCAAAACCATCAAACAGGAAATCAAGCTATGATTGCAAGTGACAGGCAGAGAGAGAGAGAAAAATCCAATCTTACTTTCTCTGCAGCAGTAGTCCTGACATGGCATTCCAACCTCTCTTCACTGTCTCATTTTCTTTTCAGGTTGCTGAACAGCTTATTAATCCATTTGGAGAAGATGATGATGATTTTGAAACTAATTGGTGCATTGATAGAAATTTACAGGTTGCTGTTGTTATTTCTACTTCCCACTTTACTATATGATAGGTTATCATTACATTTAATCCTATTTCTTAAATTGAGGTACAAATTAGGGCACCAAATGTCAGCAAAACAAATTCTTTCCCTGAAGGTTGTGATCCCCAGAGTTTGTTTCGGCAAGATAGTTCATCTTGATTTTGGCATTTGGTGTTTATGATGCCTGACGAAACATGCAAACAGCTGATCTCAAACTATAAGATCACTTTATGCCTGGAAAAACATGTAATGTAGGTCAATCCTGCAAAATCCAAAAGCCATTCCCACACAGATAAGAACACATTTTGCTAATCTGAATGTCTTGAGATTAAAATATTGCACGTGAACCTTCCTTTAAGAAAAAAGGCAGTGAAAATGCTAAAAAGACCAAGCAGGGCCCTGAACTAATAAGCAGGGCCAGTACCATTCATCTTTTGATGCTGCCACCCACAGCAGCATCTGTGGTTGCCACAGAAGCCAGTGTCTTTATTGGCAGGAGCTGTGTGATGACCAGAGTACACATTTATTGCAGATACCCCCAATTCCCAAACAGCCCCTGTCTGTTGTGCCATGAAGGAGCTCAGAGACACAAGAAGGTATCTGCTGCTCCCCTTGCATGGAGCCAAGTACAAGGCTGGGTGAGCTGCTGTGGGACTCCACTTTGGCTGGGGACCACTGAGACAGCAAAGCAGAGCCCAGGAGTTAGAGGGAGCAAGGGCAGGCCAAGCAAACCACCATATTAACCAAAGTAAGCAATGCAGGTGTGCACAGGAGTGGGAAAGGACTTCACACTACCAAAGATGCTCTCTGGCTTAGCACTACTTCATGGTACTCATGCTACAGTGCCTTACAGCCTCTTGTATAAAATATATCAGAAGGCCCTAGAACAGGATGGCCACATACTTGGTTCTGAATGTCTTAAAATGGGGAAGAAGCTTATCAGAAAGATTCTTGACCTCCAGACATTTTAAGGAGCACAGCTAATACTTGACACAAACTTTTCATAGCACATGGAGGATCACATTTAACTACTGGAAATGACTGCAATCTGACATAAATATCTCTGCAGTACAGAAGACTCAAATTACAGTAAAATTTACACTTTTGTGTATATAGGTGGGTATAGGGGGTTTATTTTATAATACTGAGTCTCTTCCTAATGCCCAGGCCATCACACACAGCTTATGTCAAAGGGTTTCTGAAAGAAATGTTGACCCAGGGAATATAAAGCAGATTATTTCATATACTGTACTATGCTGAAAGTGACATGATTTATATAAAAAAAAAATCTAAGGTCTCACTTCTGGCGGTGGATGAGATGCATATGAACTTGCCAAGGATGGAGAAAGATATTTACTGGAATGATTCCTCTGCTCGGCCTCCCTACACAAAAGCAGCTGCTGATTACTGTATTCCTTCATTTCTTGGATCAACTATTGAAATGGGGTGAGTGGTACTAAGGTCCTTAATGCCATCAGAAAGATCACCACCTCTACAGCCCACACTGATTGACAGATAGTCAGCGCAGGCTGTGACGATACTGCAAGCAGGGGAGATGGAAATGGAAAGTGATATTAGGAGGGAGTAGACAGGCTGGTGTTGGTGGGATGATGTCTCCAGTGGTCCATGTGTACATACAAATTGTGCACACACAGCTAAACTGTATAATTAGTAAATAGAGCGTGTTGCAGGGAGAGTTTATTGACAGTCTCTGAGCACTGGATGGCACCTGAAGACAGTGCTGACTTTTCTTAATAATACTTTCTTTACTACAGCTGCTTCATACACCCCCAGTTAGCAAAATAGCTATTCCTTTGCTTATTTAGTTATCAAATTACAGCTAAAATCAGTCCAGATTTTTGTGAAGATCCACAAAAAATCATCTTAAATGTTGTATGACTTTTCACTGACTAATAATCTGGGCATGCAAGTTGGAGCGGTCAGATTTTGTGAAGGGATGAAGAGGGTTTATTTCCAGAGATCAACATAAGAACCATTGTTACAAAGAAACATACAGAGGATAAAGGATTGCCCCCTGTTGTTGGGATCTATTAGAGCAATCAGTGATAGGCCAGTTGGTTTAGAAGCTGTTACTTTAAATACTTGTGACACACTGTAATATAGACAGGTCAGTAAGTGTAAATCCTGTCATGACTGAACAAATACCAGGCAAGATGTTCTTATCTGCAAATCTTTTCTAAAACTTTGCAGTAGCCATTTTGTTAACTTTAAAAATTATCTCAAGATGTTTACAATTTTCCCATCATTTCCCGCCTTTATCAAAATAAAAGGTGCTTAATTTTTTTGTTTCATTTGGCCTCAAAATTGCTGGTTTCTCATTTTTATTCCTCTTATTTTTTCATTTTGCATGCATTCTACTACAAAGGACAATGTGTTTATATGAGTTCCTCTTATTACAATCAGCCTCTTCAGAATTATTTACTTCTGGAAAAACTATAAAATGCCAAAGAGTAAAGTAAAGAACAACATTAAAAAAGTAAAGAAGAAAAACTCATAGAATATAATTTATTTTACTGCAATTGCTAGGGGGGAAAGGTGGCAAAGAAGAAACATTATTAAGTCTGCAAACAATCTTTTTAATAAGAAGGACTTCTCACAAAATATGAAGGAAGGAGCGAATAAAAATAGATCCCTGTTAGCCCTGTGAAATGCAAACAGCTCTGATGTGTTCACTTTTTATTATTTTCTTATCTGAACTGTTTCTCTGTTTATATCTCTAAAAATAATGAGTAGTTCTTATGCAGACTTCAAAAACAAGTTCTAAAGATTCATCCAAGTCCAAAGCAAATATACAAAACTTGAGCCCAAATCCAAAGCCTTCTTCATTCACCTCAAGTAGACATCTGGAACAGGTTGCCCAAAGAGGTGGTAGATGTCCCATTCCTGGAAACATTCAAGATCAGGTTGGATGGGGCACTGAGCAAGCTGATCTAGTTGAAGCTGTCCCTGTTCATTGCAGGGAGGTTGGATTAGATGACCTCTAAAAGTCCCTTCCAACACAAACTATTCTATGATCTTCACAAATGCTGGATGAAATTCCTCTGTCCCTCCAGGGTAGTGTTGCCTCCCTGTGCTCCTTACCTTAGATTAGGCCCAAGCCCCTTTGCCATTCTTGCTCTTAGGACTGATAACTAGGACAGTTTGGCTTGTCTCCTGGGGTGCACTGAGTCAGTAATGTGTACTGAATTGACTGGCAGGTGCAGCAACAGTTGTTCTCCTGAACCACCAAGGCTGTGCAGGAGAAGAGCACCAGGTACAGGTGAGACTTTCAGACACACACATTATCATGCCCCAGAAGTGAGATTTGGCCATCTGAGTAATTCCAACATTTTTTGAAATTGTTGCACTCTGTTTCCAGCAGTAGCTTTTTCATTGCGTTTATTTTTGACCAAAGGATTCTCCTGAAAAAACTACAGCATCAAGCAGGACTTCCTTCTCCCCTTTCCCTCACTCTAAGCACAAGAGTAACCATGTGGAGCTGCCTCAAAGAGCTGCAGCCCAAATATGAAATGGTACCAGATGCTTGGCTGAACGCTCTCCCAGCCTGGTCCTCAGGAGAAGGGGCACCTGGATGTTGAGAGCTCTCTGTATGATCTGGCTGGTTCAAAGGCACAGGCACTATTTTCTGGCACTCTCACCCTTTTCACACTCTTTCTTACAGACACACTAGGGCCTTGGTTTCTATGCCTTCCTGCTGAGACAGCAGGATATATGTGCATAAAGACCTAATACTTCCTATACATAAGTGACACCTACTACCTGGCTTTATTTGGCAGGCTGGCTGATACCGAATTCCTCTATGGGGAAGAGTGGCCCTGGGAAGAGGAGAAACACCGAAGACAGTATTCAGTGTTAAGAAGAGTCAAGAGATTTCTCAGCGTCCATGAGAATCCTTCATACCCCACTCACCGGTCCTACAGTCGGCAGACAAGTGAGAATTCAGTGTTTTTCCCAGCAGATGAAACGGGACACATCAGACGGCTGCAGGAAATGCACAAAAGAGGGAGGCACTCTGCCTCGAGCTTCAAGAAGAAACATGAAGGAGTTGACAGAAGTAACAGACTTCATAATAGCCGAGACCTAGGACCCATAACTGAAACCTCAAGGAATGAGGCACAGTTTGGTGACAGCGACACCTCATCTGAGACAAACAAGCCAGTTCCTGAGGTCATCATCTCTGAAGCCGAGGACAATGCACTTGGCATGCTGGACAAAACAGATCTGCCAACAGAGCGCTCTGCAAGCGTGCCGGAAGAGAAACTCCAAAGGATCCTAGCCAAGGCAAATGTGACTCTTCTGAACCAACCTTTTTTCCCCCTGGAAATGACTACATACATCCCAAGCTCGGAAGTGCATCAGTCACTTCCTAGTGTGATAGGAGAGCCCAAACATGAGCCTCATGGTAGTAACATTGCTGGTCTTATAACGGATCATGAGAGAAACCTTCAGCGATGGAGTTTACCAAGCTTCCATAGTCCTAGTACAGCACCTAGTACAGCTGACAGTGCACCACCTTTAGCAGATTCCAGGACAACTTCACAACAGAAGACCTTCAGTGATGGAAACAATGTTACTTCTGCTGCTGCACCAGAGATGTTTGAGATGCAGCACTTATGGGAAAACATGGACAGTAAAGAAACAGCCATAGTAGAATTTTCTAATGAGGAAAGTGAAAGAAAACTTTGACCATGTTTCCTCTGGGTTTGACTGAACTTCTTGTCTTCTCTTGAACATAGTTCTCATACCGATTTGCTGAAAGTGCAGAAGGGCAGACTTGATGCTCAGACAAGTCCTGAGCAAGATCCAACAGAGGATTTGAGACCTAAATAAGAGGCATTGTGGTGACATACTTTAAGCCACTTGGTCGTTAGCTTGAAACCCATGACCTTGTGGGGAAAACATTTACAAGGAGAACTGGGAGCCCCAGGGGTGGATGCAAACCATCAGTGCACAGGACAGCAAGCTGCGTAGGCTCAACTAGAGGAAACACTAAGGTTATCAGAAGAGCGGAGATGGTTCTGTCCACTTTGGATCCACACTGAACACTGCTGCCTTTGTCCACTCCATCAGGTTCAAGTCCATGACATCCTTGTAAGACCCATGAAGACTTTTGTTTTCTATTCGAGTGGCTCAAAGGCGAGGTGTGGGCTCAATTCTCTCCTCAGCTTGGAGAGATTCAGCCCACCGTCTCTTACTGCCTGGAGGAACACTTGAAAAATCAAGCTCCTCATTTGTGTAAGACAATAGCCTGCCCCGCTCTTGCTGAAGCTATGCCACTGGAAAAATAAAAGGATTAAATGTTTAAGTTCATTAAGAAAAATGGAAGAGGCAAAACAGGGCATGGGAAGTCTCAGTCTTAGTCTTTGCTCCCTGAAGCACGTATGTGGCATATCCAGTGGCTGGTTTATCGTAAAATGAGGCTCCCAGGTGGCCTCTCTCATGATGACAGGGCTGTGGCACCCTCTCAAGAGGTGGTGGAGCTGCAGAGGCAACTGAGCTTAGAGCTCCAGTCTTGTGGAGATCTTCAGCTGGAAGTGCACAGGCTACAATCATCCCAGGCAGACAATAAAATGGCCCAGGACCACTAGCAAAATTGCTTTCCACTCCCTTCATCTGCCCCCTTCCCATGCTTACAGACACACCATACACATTCTCCATTAATCCAAATCTGCGTCAGCATTAGGTGGCTCCTGCTGCTCCAGGGGTGGCCAAGCCACCTCCCTAAACCTCCTGGTAATGACCTGGCCTTTCAGCTGTCACTCCTGCAAGATGTCTCAAAGCAGGCTAGGAAAGCAGCAGCAGCTCCTTGCTTTTAGCTCTTTATCCACATTTACAAAAACACAGTCTGGAGCATGTCACCAGCATTCTCCCATGAGTAAGTATCCAAGTAGATGGTCTCCCTGGAAAAGGGGGATACCAGATAGCTCAAGGGATGGAAAGAACAGAGAGAAGGGGAGACACAGAAAATTACGGGTCTGCAACAGCCAGCAAAAGCAGTATGGACTGTACGGACAGCAAGTCCACTCAGCTCTCTTACCCAGAAGGTTGCACTTCAGACAATAAACCAGGATCTCTGCCAGGGTAACTGTAGCCTCAGTGGCTTTGGGGAGTCCTTAGGACTCCCTGAAGCTGGGAAGGAGCTCCTGCTTTTCTGGACCACAACTTAGGTGAGGAGCCCTTCCAGCAGGCTATCACATACAGCAGGACTCTGCTTTCTCATCTGGGTAGTCTTTGAACAAAAATCAACTACCCTCCTGTAGTAAGCCAGCGTTCTGTTCTCAACCTCCCACTTCTACTTCTTCCAGCACTATTTCAGTCTGGGAATTGGATCCTGCAAGTGTGCAATAGGCAGAGTATGAGCAGAGCCACCCTTTCAAATCCTTCAAAGACACTTGAAAAAGCACATGTATCCTGATCAGTTTAGGAAGCAGAGGACACTTGGCCCAAGGAAGAGCTGTTTAAACTCAGATTATGTGAATTCTAGGTATGCAGAAAAGCCAAGCACAGATTTCCCAGGCACCTTCGGAGGTACTTCTTCACACCATGAGATGAGGTGACACTGGCGTCTGACAGCAGCTTAATGCAGTTTAATCACACTTTGGAGTGAGGCGTTCTGGTGCAACCTCACCCTTGCCACTACACAAGTCCTCAGGCAAATGAAGTTACTATGTTCAGGTTTGACCAACAAAATGAGGAACTCTGTGAACTGAAATTATGTTGAAATAAACAGCATCTTAGCCTAGCAGTCCAATTTTCTGAGCGGTCCTTCCTAGGCAATACTCAGCGCTGGAAGCATTGCCTCTTTCCTCCTGATTCCCTGTTTCTTCTTGTAGCTGAAGCCGCACTTTTCTATGCAGTATTTTCTCAGTTTAATTACATCTGCAACTGTCAAGGAAGAACTTTATTTACCAATGAGGTTAACTTCAACAAATGATAAATTTGAAGCATAAACAATACATTTTAAGGATACCCAGACAGCTCCAGCAGCACAGCTAGAAACAAAGTAACTGCTGCTCTCCTCTGTAGCACTTTGTTCAAGTCAGGAAAGCAATACAAGTTTCTGGGAAGTTTGGCCATACCCAGTTTGGCTGTGCATGTATAGGAAGGCTTTTCAGCAGCTGCGAAGAAAGTCTGGCCCATTATCAGGCTTTCTCCTTACAGTACATAAGGCAGAGGAACAGTGCTTCCCACTGCAAGGGAATTTAAGCCAAAAATTAGAGATGACTGTCAAGTGTCCACAATGAATCTGCACTGAGAGTCCAGTCCCATCACACCTCTTCACTAATTCTTCACATAGCTTCCACCAGGGTTTAAGGTGTTGGAGGAAAGTGCTCTTCCTCCTCAACCCAGACATCTGCATGTTTCATCCCAGCACTGCTAAGCATGAAAAAGCCTTCCCAGCTTCTCATCATCCAGCTCTGCTCATCTCCCATCATCTTCTCAGCCTGGTCACTGCCTAGGATGCACACTGCTGCTTTCAACCAGGACATTATACATTTCATTATACATCAGCAATGGTTTTACTGCCTCTCCCACTCACTCTGCCAGCACTCCCTGTTTTCATTCTTTGATGGAGGCTCAGGGTGGCCACACAGCAGCCATTAGACAGATAAAAGCTTCAGTCCTACGGATGTGACTACTAGACATGTAGACGTGTGTTAAATTAGGAATGACAGCTCTGAAGTTACACAGTACAATCTGCAATAAGCAACTAGCATTTCACACAGTGGACCAGCTCCAAGTTAGCTATAATATTGTGCTCATTGCTTGTAAAGAAGCTAATGCCGGGATGAGTTACCAGAAAAATTTCTTCTCCTCATTTAGTATGTTATCTCACTTTTGCAAACATCTGTGGACTCTGATTTGTACTACATTATCTTTTTGGATTATGTGCTCTCTTTTCTTGGTAAACTATTTGCCTTAGCATGGTAAATGGATTCTTTTAGCAGACCCAACAATCTACAATTCATGTTCACAGGTATAAGCAATGTTGAATTACTGCATGAATAAAGGCACTTTGAGAAACACCATCATCTTGATTGTATTGAACTCTCAAGAACCATTTCTGACAAAGGTTTGACCTACCATGCAAGTCAACTTGATGTCTACCAGGAACAATGACACATTACAAAAGTTGGCAAAGCTAGAAAAGGAGAGAACAGGGCCAGGTTAGGTCAGAGCAGCAGCTTGCTCCTATCAAATGGTGTTAATCTCGAGCAGGATCAGATATAGCAGAACAAAGAGAGGGCCAGTCCCTCTACATGATGCCTGATTTTCCACTTATTTCTAGGTTGTGTTCACACTCTGCACTGAAATTCATGGAGCCAAGACGTCAGTGCTGGGACTGATTGGTTGCAGAGACATGTCCCAACAACCTTAAAACCTTTGCCATAAATAACCGATTTCTGACTGCAAGCTCATGTTTGAGGAATATATAAGTATTTTAGAAATAATGGAAATGTATCGGAGTGTTAAGTCTGCTGCATAGTAGAGAAAACAAAAATACCCTGCTACTGTAAATGAGGGATAGAGCTTTATAGATGTTTGTTTGTCTTGGTTTATGACCAAACAAATGACATTTTCTAGATAAATAAGTTAGCTCATATAAGTTATCCATTCTTAAACAGTGATAAGGACAAAGGGGAATCAAGGCAAGATTGCCCTAAAATACATGATAACTTCACACAGCTCAGTCTTGTCTGCAGAAAGAGACAGCTGGCAGCAAGGTCTTCTTTGCTGGAGGTTAATAGCCTGGATGCCAAATGTGTAACACAATGTGGCTGCAAATAGAGAGTCATGAAAACAGGCACAGGAGAGTATTTCATACTGGAAGGCAAGATCAGTATGTCAGAGATACCTACAGGCAAACTGTCTTGCTTTAGTAATACTTATTGAGTGTTACAACTGAAGCCTCAAAATCTAAGGGGTTGTGATCATAATGCTGCCAAGGCCAGCAATGGGTGTTGGCTTTAGTCTGTGCTAAGCACATCCAGGCAGATGGTAGCAGCAAAGCCCTGGGGGCCACAACCCCCTGTCCCAGCAATGCCACCATGGGGCCACTCTCCAGCTCCCCATGGTTCTGCCCTACTGGGGAGGTGCCTAGTGCACAGGGCTGGGGCTGCGGACATTTTTTGGGTTTAGGAAGACATATGCCAACATATCACATCTTTCCACTCCAGAACACAGAGCAATATGAATTTTCAATTGCTGTTACACCTTCTCCTCCCCTTCCTCTCCAGCACTGGAACCACTGAAAAAAATATAAAACGTAGCTGTAACAGCACTAGGACCAAAGCAGATTTTTCTTGTTTAAGTTTTATTCATGTGTAGTGGTGCAGTATCAGTTTTAGCAATCCCAACAAATGCTCCAATGGGTATGATTTTGGTGAATCTTCTTTTGCCAAATCCGTGCAGCTGCCTGTGGCTGTTTCATCTGAAACAGTTGCCAAGGCTGACAAGAGGTGGTTGAGCAAGAAGCAGTAGATGTCTAGTGCTGGTGCACATCTGTGGTGGAGGGAGGGAACTGTGCTATGCCTTTGCATTGGCTTCGATCTGGGTTTTGTAGTGTGAATAGATGCAGCTCCAGCTGCTCCCACCACCAAGGGGCAGAGATGTCAGATGCTAAAAGCAGCATCTGACCTAAGGTATGTATGTTAAATGCTGAGACCCAAAAGAGGAATAGAAAAATATCCATCAATAATGATCTTAAGGGAAAAAGGAGGCTTGAGTGATGGTGTAAGGAGCAGGAAATTGTGTGCAAGGAACAGTAGTGAAAATTAGTGGTCACACAGGCAACAGTCAAATTCCCCTTTATATAAGCTGGTTGGAGTAGGATAATTTAAAGAGAATTTCCTTGGCACTAAGGAAACAAAGTTAAGCAGAACCCAAACCATGGAAAATGATGAGGAAAAAGAAAGCTGTAGGAAATGAGGTGGAAACTAGCAAACAAGAAGAAAAAAAGGATAGCCAGACCAGGCAGGACTGAGATTAGTTTCCCCCACTCGTAACCGCTATCTTGTCAGACTGGCATTGTTCAGCATTTTTTTCTTCCTGATCTTTTGCAAATCTGAATGCTGAGCTTTTCTGCTTTATCCTGAGAGCTGCACTGTCCATTAGTTACTCAGGAAATATTGTTTCTTGGTTATAAACATATAGATATTGAACCAAACTATATAATTTAGGACAAAGATCACTGCAAAGTCCCTAAAACCTGGAGGGGGACAACACAGCATGCATTTAGATCCAAAGTTTCAGTAAAATCCCTACTTCACACAGTATTGAAGATCATTACATTAACATTTAAGACAGAATAGATGCTATTATGACTCAGTAGTAATCATTCCTGTGAACAGCTTTTGCAAATCCCACTCTGTCATTCCCACGGTCAAAAATGCAGTAAAATGCAGACATGAAGACATCTCCTAAAATCCATAGTGGGCCAGTGCGAGTGGGGATGTCGAGAGACTGAAAGCCACTCATGCAGAAGGTTTGGTCGTCAATAGACTCCTGAAAGGGAAAGCACGTGTCCTTGCAGCAGCCTGCTCCAGCCCCAGCTCGGGAAGCAAGGAATAGGGAGTAGGAGGCTGCAGATACACACCTTTAGGATGTATTGTTCTGCTGTCAGCTTGTACTCGTGGTGTCCGATCGTGAAACTTATGTGAGGCAGGCTGGACAATCTTCTGCAGTCTACAAGAAACTGTATGCAATGCACTGATTGAGATGAGATCAGTTTGTCTTATTTTAATTATTGCCCTTCGAATTCAAGAGTTTTGCAGCAGGTAATGGTGAATTTACTACAGAGAAACAGCATCAGGCTGACTTATAGCCCAAGACTGCCCTCCGGTTTTCCAGTTCCTGTACTTGGTCAAACCAGCCTAGCAGCCCAAACCACTGCACCAAAGCCCCTAGGGAGCCAGGGCTGATGAAAATCCTTGGAAATCCCAAAGGGAAGGAGGTGAAGGGGGACTCTGATGTCCTGCCTGCACAACTCAGAAAGAAAACTGAGTGTGTGATCCCCAGCAAGTCTACATTAGCAAGGTCTGCTGAGCAAAAGTCCACCAACACTCTGGCCTTGACCGGCTGGAGGGAGCTGCCTCCAGCCACGCAGGAAGCACCCTATGGCTGCAGCTCATCACACGTCCTCCTGTAACACCATCATTTTAGGGAAAATATAAGCTAGGGAGGAATACAGCACTTTATACTTATACTCTGCCTTAGAGTAGAATTTAAAGAGTAGAAGGACTAAATTCTGGCATGGTCATTAATTTCCATAAATAATACATTCACTTACAGTAACACAGAAGATAATTTCCTGGCCTTTCTAGTTATTTCATTAAATAACTGGTGTGTTAAATGGTCCTGCAGAATGCTCCAAGTCTCAAAGGGATCGTTGCTATAAGCTGTAGTGTTTAAAGTCATTGTTTTAGAGGCTTCCTTGAAGGAAAAATCTGCTCTTTGCTGTTTTTCAATCTGCTTTATGAAATCATAACCCTTAATCTTGTGTACACTTCCCAGGTGTCATGCCATTAGAACAAAATAAACCATGGCATACAGAGGACAAGGGTAAAAAATGCCAGTATAATGGTTTGCAGGATACAGGAAGCAAGACATAATTCTTTCACATACAGAAAAAATTAATCTTTGCTGGAAAGAGATGAAAGTTCTCATAAAATCACTGATGAATGCTCTCATTTTTACTGGGATAAATTTGAGCCAATTTACTCTGTCTGTCTGTGATTGCTAAAAGATCAGTCATAGAAAGTCTTATTTTCAGGATACTTTTTTGCAGAGTCTGAGATGCCAGCTGTGTTCTTATGTGTGCCAGCACTGGAGTATATAAACTTATACTGCAATGACCTGTTCCTTGTTTATATTATGCTAGTATAAGTACATTGGAAATACATATTTTATCCATATTCATTAGTGTGTACTAATATAAAAACAACTTACTATCAAAGCATACTCTTTGGCATGTGTCTCAAAATTTGAACAAAATCAAAATTAAAGGTTTAATTGAGAAAGAATCAGGAGTTTCAGGAATCACACATATGTCATTAGAGTCCTCCTATTAAAAAATGAGGTGGATTAAGAGTCCACTTTCATCTTTGCTCTTTGCCCAGTGCACTGGGCAACTGTAATACTCTTAATTTTCTTCTGAGAGCATTTTTGGGTCAGGATAAAGACAAATGCAAAGTTAACAGAACCCGTATGGGGCAGTTTTACTTGGGGCACTGGCGCTGTGGCAACGTGCTAGTGATCTATGGGAGTCAGCCAAGGGCCAGCAATAAGGCACAGTAGAAGTAAGCTACCCTTTCCCTGGAGGCAGGGATAGGAAAGAGTGGTGGGAAGCGTCAGCAAGGCGGATGCAGGAGAGAGCAGCAGGTAAAGAGGAAGACAGCAAGGGGTAAGAGGAATAATGTTCAGGAGGAAGAATAAGAGACAGCAAGTCTTGTCCTGCACCCTGTGACTCATCTGCCAGGAGCCACTGTTGTGAGTGACACTGATGTGCACCCCTCCCAGGAGCCCTGCATGACACCACCTGCTCCATGGCAAGATGACAATGAGAGGTCTTGCCAGTGAAGCCACAGTTGGGCTGTCATTAAAATACCATTCCCTTTCCATTTGATGCTGAGGTGGCTGGTCATCAGCACCAACCCCCTCCTGTCTTGGGAGAGCCAACAGCTATAACTGCAGACATTGAAAATCCTCTGATCTCCCAAAAAAAATTATCTCTCATGCAGAGTATAGATCGATTCCTCAAACAAATGTACTCCCTATTTCCTTACATACCAGTTCTGAGTATGGTAGAAGAGGTGACTGTCTGGGGGGAGGCCTGGGGCAGTAAGGCAGATAGGTCAAAAACAGATTGGCTCTGAGTTCAGTGCTATTCTGGAAACAAGGCTTTCGTTGAGACCTTTCTAACCAATTATTTTGATTACTGTCTCACCCTATAAGCTCTTTGCACCAAATACCAGTTTCCCTTCCCATCTGGCTGTTTTCTGTCTGTACAGTTTTTACCTCTCCAGTATTTGATGGACTTGCCCCGATATACTCCTGTAATCGCCTGATTTGTGAAGAGGGTCCAGTGATAAGAGAAGTGCCTGAGTCAACGATGGCTTCACAGCCATGGGAGCAAAATGCCACCCGGCCCTGGATCTTTATACTGCAAGTGAAAAACAAAGCATCTTTAAGCAAATGACATATGCACTGTGACTGAAACATCATACTATTGCTAGCTAAAGTACCAGAGTACAGACTGAAGTTACTCCAAGGTAAAAGTGACAGGGTAAGAGGAAATGGCCTCAAGTTGCACCAAGGTAGGTTTAGATTGGATATTAGGAAAAACTTCATAGAAAGGGTTGTAAAGCACTGAAACAGGCTGCTCAGTGAAGTGGTAGAGTCACCATCCCTGAAAGTGTTAAAAAGACATGTGGATATGGCACTTGAGGACATGGTTTAGCGTTGCACATGGTGGTGGTGCTAGGTTGACAGTTGGACTTGACAATCTTTGAGGTCTTTTCCAACCTTAACAATTAAAACTAGCTGCCAAGCTTTGCTAAAGACAAGAATGTCTGTGGATCCACTTTTCTCTCTTGGGACTCCTAATCACTAATCATTTGCTGCCTGCTGACGAATTTGTCCTCACCCACAGATATGTATTCTCATCAATTTAGGCAGCATGCTAGAGGAAGAACAAAGGAACACTGACTGCTTGGACCAAAGTTAGCAGGAAAGATGAGAGTAGGACCCAGAGCTGGGTTCAGTTTGTGGGTGCCTTAACCTCTTAACAGCTAAAACATACTAATATGTTCTCTCAGAAACCAGTCACCCATGTCACAGCAGATTTAGAGAGCTAACAAACCCCAGTCTCATCCTATTGTACCCACTCTTTGAGAGGCACAAGGGTAAAACACTGCAGCTGAGTCCTCTGCATCTGCATCACTAGGTGTTTCTGTCTCTGCAGGTTTTACATGGGGAGGCAGATTTCACCAGGTCTTTCATACATACATACATACATACACGTATACATACTTGTTCACATGTATTTGCCAGTAGCTTTTCTCAGTGACTGGGACCCAGTGGATTGAACCTTTGTAGAGAGAATGGTCTATTCCCCCTAGAATCAACTCACCACCATTCTCAGTGTCATCTCCTCTGAAAGCAGAAGACAAGGTAACACAGACATGGGAGTGTGCCAGCATGCATGAGATTGCTCTTAAAAAGCAAAAGACAAATCACATCCCTTTCTAAATTCAGATATGGACGGCTGAAAGGGATTATTCCTAAATTATCAGTGCATATGTCCCAAACAACATCTGAGAAGACTAAGAAGACATCTGAGTAGGTTGCCAAGGTAGGTATCAGGAGCAGGTTGAGACAGTTGCTACTCTCACCTCAAAATAAACACTAGAGAAATTGGTGAAGTTGTGGCTAGGTCCAGAGTAGGGAACAACTTTTTTCTGGAATGTGACTACTTGGGTGTAGGACAGCATTTCTGTTCATCTTCATGGGCCAGAAGGAAACCTCTGGCAATAGACATAGTGAGTCTGAGCTGGAAGTTTTTCTTTTCTTTATGACCAGCTCAACAAGAATAAATCTATCCAAAAAGTCATGGTCCTCCCCATAACACTTTTTCTTTTTATGCCATATTTTTCAGTGTCAAATTGGGAAAAAAAACCAACACTGAGAACCAAAAAAATGGGGGAATTTACTTTCTGGAGTTGAAGCTTTATACAGAGGCACAGTTGTTTCTATCAACAATTAAAATAAATTTACTTCTTTTTTGGCAGTGCCATTTTAAAGACTGACCTTTTCAGATAGAAAGAGAAGACCGGCTCCTCTACCAAGTGCTGGTTCATGATGCTGTCAAACACAGGCAGAGCATTGCCCACTGCTAAGGAGGGGTAGCCTAAGCCCAACACGCCATCAAAATGGGCAAGGACAAAAGTTGTTCCTGGCTCAAACACTGACTCGCCAAAGTCTTGTCCCTTGATGGAGATGTTACTTATCTGTTTGGTTCAAAAGAAAATAAATAAATTAAAAAAATATATAAGAACTTTGAAAGTAATGACACCATCTATTACAAGAAATTAGCCACATTTCAGATCCATATCAATGGATTAATTCAGTTTATAAAACCTGGTTATCCTTGTGTGATTTGCATCAATATAACAGGTGTCCATTTGGCAGGTAGGCTGCACCAATTCCTTAGAACGCCTTACTTTTCAGGCTGCTTGTTCATAAACCCAGAACACACAAAGACCCAAGAAGACAAGCAGAAATGAAAATAAAATCTTAGGGATTTGTCTTGATAACCCAAAGCTGGAGCAACACCCACACCTCTCAGTACATTGCTAGGTGGGACCTCACCCTACCCTTGCCTAAACCAGGAAAGGTTTTCAAGAGCAAGGCCAGTATCTGAACTGTCTGAAAACAGTTGACCTGGAGGCTGACACCCATTTTAGGTGGATGCTCACCTGCAGCGTGTCTTTGCCAGCAATGCCCAGAAGCTGTCCCGAGCCGTACTGCAAGGAGAAGGCTTCCCCTCCGTGCTCATATGAATCCGACTTGAAGGACTTAAATTTCTGGTGCACCCCTACATGAAACAAATTATATCTTTGCACTGAGGGAAGGTCCCAGCAATGAACCTGCTCCCCAGTGCAGAACCAGATGAGATTTTTACTTCTCTTATGAGAAAAGTATCTATAGAAATACTGCAGGCACCTCAGTTCCCCTGCAGGGCACACCAGTTTTTCTGTACCTGAGAGGTTATTTTGCATTTTAAAGACAAATTAAAACAAAAATAGGCATTTCCACCAGTTCTGGCAGCTCTCCCAGGTCTATTTTCATGCCTTTTACATCAGGCACCTTGTGGTCTGGAAGGACAGCTGGCAGCTGCAGCCGGCACCTGTCGTGGCTGCAGGATGACATGAGGGGCAGAGACAGAGGAGAAAACTGGGGAGAGGAGACCAGCCCTAAGGGATGCTCCAAATCATTCCCTTCCAAATCCCTGCTGCAGGCAAGCTCCTTGGGAAAAGAGAAGTGGTCAAAGTATCCAAGCAAGACATGAGGAGTACAAGGGAGAATAATGTTTCTTACTGCACGCCTCACTGATGCAATAAGCAGAAGGGACCCAAAAATTGGAGGAACCGGTGTCAAACACGACGGTGAACCTCTGTGGGGGCGTGCCGACATTCACCACTCCGTAGTACTGCGCCTGGGGGAGGAACAGCCCCGTCAGCTCCCAGCTGCCTCCACGGAGCTATTCCTGGGGAAGAAGCATACTTGGGAGCATCACACAGTGTTTTCTCAGGGGAGTCTGTGCAATTTCATTTAAATGTAAATGCACACCACAGGCAAGTGTGTCTGGTTCCATGGGTGCCTCAGGTAGCAGATTTCACTCCAGCTGAATGCGCAATGGTGAGGCATTTTTAAAGCCTTTTAAGCAAATATTCAGTTGAGTCAACAAACCCTCTTGCACCAGTTTCAGAGGTGGCAAGGTCAACCCCAAGACGAAGCTCTCACATGACCATACAGTCTTTCAGGTTGTTCCTTACTGATGTCAGTAAGAAATCAGTGTTGCAAAGTCAGCACAATCTGACTCTGCTGGCTTCAGAGGGCTCTGACCGGTGGCACAAACACTGTCATATGTGGCTAGCCTTTTTCCCTTGTAATTAGCATAGCTAGTAAAAAAAGTATTGTGTTGCACAAACTGTTCCTAATGTACTGAACAAAGTTCATCCAGCGGATGAAGAAACCACTGACCATCCCTGGATACCAATTGAGACTGAGATAATCTGTGAACACGTGAATGATGGAGTGCAGTGCTTATCCACATCCCGTATACAAGTGTTTAAGTGCTCCTATCTGGCCCTGGAAGAGCACTTCAGCATTAAGAGACCTATTTTTAGGAAGAGGCATTTCTGGAATTCAACCACAGATAGAAAAGCAATAGCTAGTGCCAAGCTTTGCGCAGTAATACAAATATTTGAATATGTACCTTCAAGTGCATACTTCTTAATTAATACACTGAAGTTTCTGACCCTGTAATTTATGATCTGAATGAGATAATCTTGAAAAGGCAAGCAAGCATGCCATTTAAGAGAATATCCAGTTATATAGCAGAATTTTATTTCCTCTTGTATTAAACCTTTATCAATGAATCTGTAAATTGAGGCAGCTCTAAGGGATGTTCATGAAAAAACCAAACAACAAAAACCAACCAACCAAAATACCAACCAGAAAAACCACAAACACACTGCAAAACCACCACAAAACTGTTCCTGGTGCTACATGGGTATGCTAGGGAAGGGGGGTTTGCTTCATCGTTTTGGAATTTATCCCTCTTTGAAATAAGCTTTAAAGCAGACTGAAATGTTTGTTCTTCTTCACATAGGTATTTCTTTAAGGCCCTCAAGTGTCAGAAGTTCTTGCTGAACGAATTTGGCCTTCCCTTCCATTCTGTTCCCTATTCAGATGCAGCCTTTACAACACTTCTGCAACTTAGTTTTCCTTTAGATAAGCACAACACAAGAACCAAGTAAAACAGAAAACAGAGACTATTCAAACGGACAAAATGCTAAACCCAGGAAAGATACCTTACAAAATGGTTGACCTGCTGACTTGCCTGCCTGAGATCCAATGAACCTCATATATTTTCTTTTTAAGTTTAGATGGTAAATTCAGCCAGGTTAGTATGAGGCCCAGGTCAGTCTCCAGTATTTAATACACACTAAACTCCAGAGATAAAAGCAGAAAAATAAAAAACTCTACTTAGGTTTATTATCACTGACTCCACGTGATCAAATAAATGAGATTTGGGGGATATTTTTTTTATAACACACAAACATCCTAGTTTCTGATAAATAGAATACCACTAAGTGAAGAAATCAGATTCTGCTACCAAAAACCTGATAGTTACACCAAGACTGATACAGGCAAACCCATTACAGGACTATCACTGCTAGACTACATCAGCTTTCTACCCAGGTCACAAGCTAACCTAGATCTAGATGTGCTTTATTTTGCAGACTGGTAAACTGATTTTTTATAATCTAATATTTATAGCATAGAGCAACAAGACATCTCAAGCCCTATAATTTCATTGAGAGACTAGATTTGAAATGTGCTGGGAAAAAATCTGCCTTCAGTAGAACAATGAGTCGTAATGATAGCATTACCAAAACTGTACTTACATTCATGTAATCATACAGCCTTTCTGAAGCAGTTCCTACTGATAAAGCAATATCTGCAGGGAAGCAATGCAGATATCTTCGGGCAAAAACATCAGGGTGGTGATTCCTCCAAAAGTCCTCTAATTCTCCCTTTTCTTTCAGCTGTTTCTTGATAGATTTGAATCGAATCAGGGGGATTCTATGCAAATAAAATAAACACACAAAAAAATAACTGGTTCTTCATTCTATAACTCTCATATACCCTTTTCTTTAAAAAATGTTTCTTTTTGGAGACGAGTAGCAATAGGTACAGGTCACCCTGGGAAGCCAGCTGACACATAATGCCAGATGTGTTTTCTTACCGTTCCATGGCCAGGATGAATGGGATGTAAACCACAGCCAACAGTATCACTCTCATGGTTCCAAGTGGCTCAGTCTGACATTCCTTTGCTCAGAAGTCCCTTTTTTATGGCCTGTTGTCAGCAGAGGGCCATTCGCCAGGTCAATCAATCGCAGGAGGTCAGTGCTTTGGCAGAAAACTGATTAATTTACCCTCAGATTAACCACTGGATTGTGCAAATAGTGATGCCCAGTGGAACTACTCAGGCACAGATAACCAGGGCACAGTCTAGACCAAACAGACATTTTCATAACAATCCTTAATGTCTTTTACATAAATATGATATATGGGATGAGTTTGGCTCCTCTTAGCATGGGAAAGAAGAAGTAGTCCAAGGACTTCATGTTTTTCAAGCTTGCTTTAGGGAGAAATCCTTCAGAAGTGTTCAACACAGAGAAAGAGGACATAACATATAACCATTCCCCTTTTGCATGGAGACATTTCAGCAGGGCTGAGCAGACAGACATTTGATGGGCTTGTGACAAGTCACCCCCTAACAGCTCATGTTTAATTCCCTATTTATGGGAGAACTCCAGTCTAAACATAAATTTGACTGCCACCCCAGAAAATGAGTCTTCAAAGTAAAAAACACAGCAGCCTGCAGCATACAGTAATAAACAGCTAGAAGCTTTGCACACCTTTCAGCAAGACATTTGGAAGGGCTCACTTTGATTCATTTTCTTGGGAGTTTCTTGAGGTTAGTGGCTCCCACCCCTGCTTGACACTTGGGTTCAAGTCAAGCCTTCAAAAAAATAATAGTGTCAAAAAGAGACTCTGAGCTGGCAGACTGCAACCCCAAACCTATTAGCTGCCTGGAAGAAAGCTCAGCACTGAGTCTGCAATTTACTTTCAAGACTTTTTGAATCTTTCCTCTGCACAAGAAAGTGCAGTAAGCAACCGCATACTGCAGCCTAGCATATATTAAAGCCAAATTTGAATAAACAGCCATTTTTGTTCAAAGTACTATGGTAGGAGGCTGGGAAAAGACGAACAATATTCTTTCCCCTGCAACACATCACTTATTAAAAGTAAACTGCTCACCATGTGAAGGTGAACTGGAACTAGGTAATCCTCCCAAAAGAGAGCAGATGCGCGACAGCACGGAGCTAAGAGTGAATATCAAGGATATAGAGGAGGCAGGAGTCATCATCTGCTCTAGCAACAGTGCTCCAGTCAAGAAAAAACAGCAGAAAAAACAAAACACATGGTGTTTGTGAGAAAAGACAGGGTCTAAATGCCTGTCAGAGACTTCAAAGAAATGCAATGCAAACCATTATCAGAATATCCTAAAGAAATTCTTAAAAATTGTTCCTTTTAATCTCTTCCCTTGTTATGTCAGACTAATTAAGAATGGGCATGAGAACCTCAAAATCACTAAGTTTAGAGCTCTATTCATTAGTCCCCTGGATTTTGAAATACATAGCTTGCTTTTTCTAATGCACCTCCAAAATTGTGAGGGCTAAACAAACTCAGCAAAGGCTGAGCATGGTGTCATCACACAGCTGTGTGCAGAGTTCTGGATCTGAAAAAGCACCAGCATCTCTATTATCATATTTTGTTTCAAAAAATAATAGAATCTCAAAGATGCATATTGATTTCTACTTTATTGTGATTTTTTTTTCAATTATCTAGCTCTGAGTAATGTTCCCCATTTCTTCTGGACTTGGGGATTTTACACAAGTTATCAGTGAACAACCACATTTTCTGTCTCACAGTCATCCCAGCCACTGAGCTGCAGGAGCTGGATGCTGGAAATGAGACTGGTCAGCAAAGATGTGGCCATTTGTGAACTTCCAGAAAGCAAAGGCATTTCTCAAGGAGACTCCACTGCCACCTGATGCACAGCAAGCCCTGGGGGAGGGCAGTGTCACTTTGATGAGAGTAAGACAATGTCTGTGCTGAACGCCTTTATCACTTGAACTTTTCCTCAAATGCCAAAATTGCTTCTGGGAAGTCATTAATGTTCATGTTGGAGGGCATCATGATAACTTTGAAGACATGAAGTGGCTTCCAAAACACCACCTGGGTCTACTGCCCAGGTGAGGAGACTGCCTTTGCCTTAGAGGCTCCATTGAGTCCTTGATTCTCAGAAAGAACATGATTGTTCACTTTACTGCAAATGTAGCCCTTTATTAATCCACATACGAAGGTTATTCTTTCCCAAATTCTCTGATTTCACAGTATGTTCCAAACAGACATTCATTTAGCTAACAGAGGTACAAAATACAGCAACAGAAGGTCATCATGACTTTTTTTTGATAAGCTGGAATAATGATTAAACTACAATCCAGAGGATCCCTAAGAAACTGTTATCTGCAGCTTAAAAGTTCCATTAAGTAGAAACAATTCAAGTAGAAAAAATATATCCCCATCTCTGTCTATAGACAGAGTACATTGTGAAGTTATTTGTCTATATACGGATTGTTGAGAAAAATATGCCTGCACTATATTATTAATATATTCGTACCTACACTTTCATGTTGTTCTGATTAGCAGGTTATCTGAAAAGATTTGTCTAAGGGTCATGTCTTCACCATGGATGTAAATTCATTATTATTTATGCAAATGCATTTGGTTTTCCACAGCTGTAACCTACAGTGCCTTAGGAGGAGGGACCCTTGCCTTTAGAAGGTGCCACAGCTACTTAGAAATGAAAACAAATACAACAACCCACTGAATGAGAATATTTTCTTAAATGTCAGATCACATTCCAGGGTAACTGCTTGGAAAAGGATGCCCTGCAAAATCCAGAAATTACACATTTCCCACAGTGGTCCTCTGACAGGACCACGTGACATTAGAGCAGTAAAGAAGGGACTAGTTGGAGATGTTTGTTCAGTGTGAACTGGCCCGTTGCTGCTGGGATGCCATGCACAGCACATCCTGCCTTCTGTCACCAGAGAGGGAATTTTCAGCACCTCTCTTCCACAGCACCACCACAGATGAATATGACATTATCTTTGTTCTCCAGGCTTGATACTCTGCCCAGCCTTTCTATCCATGCCTATTTTATGGCACTCAGGTCTCAGGACTCATTGTTCTCCATTCTGCTGCAATACTGGTTCCCAGATGCCCTCCCTGTTGTTCTCCTCCCAGAGGGAAGCCCTCCATACATTTCATAGCATCACTGCTGCATGGCATAGCCACTGATCTTGCAGGGAAAAGGCTAGTAAACATCCTATAGCCTATATCCAATTGATAGCTAAGACCTGATTTACATTTGAAAACAAGTGATAGTAGAGAGCTCTCTATTAGATTTGACTAGAGATCCAGAGGCCACCTTAACTGTTTGATATTGCCTTTTTCTCAATCTTCTGTTTGCTCTGCCTTTTGTTTTTCCAAGAGTGTGTGGCTTTCAGCAGTCACAGATTTTGGTAGTGTAGCACTTATACCCAGAAAACAACTGCAGACTGTTTGAAGAAAATTTTCTCCCATCCAAGGTTCATAGTACAGCCACAGCCAACAGAGGTAGGAGAATCATAGAATGGTTTGGGTTGGAAGGAATCTTAGATCATGTAGTCCCAGCCCCCCTGCCTTGGGCAGGGACACACATGAATCCCCAAGAAAGCCTAAAAGAGCAGCAGCTCAAGAAGTCAAACTACGCAGAGGTTCCTCCACATGGGAATGCTGCTCCTAGAAATCAGAGGTACTCCTGATCTGAATAGCAAAATGGGTCTTGATGAGAGAAGGAGAAGAACAGTTTACATTGTCACGTAACTTTTTAACATATTTATCTCACTCATAGCAAGAGAAAATCTTGATGGAATTAAATCCATGGGAGTTTCTTGACAAGTTTAGGTACAGACATGGGAACTGCAGTAGCATAGTAGAAAGGTATATGGAGAACAGCCTTGGCAGTTTGTGATAGCTCATTAAATAGGGATTGAGATAAGAAGTAAAACATAATGTAATGAAAAAGGCCAAGAGTGCCAGAGCCTATAATAAATACCATTAAATTAGGAATATAAATAGTAGAACAGCTCAAGATAGCAGTTTGCCAAGTATCTGTGTTAAAGTTTTAAGATAACTACTGGGTGGCAAGTTGCACTCTGAAACTATGTGGCACCTTGCAAAATAGATCCCTGAAAGTGCCACTTGTCTGGAAAGTCAGTCAGACTGGTATTTTAAACAATTTGATTATATCCGACATTTCTGCTGAAAGTTTCATAAAAGTTAAACATTTGAGTTTAAAAATTTGGCTTTCTGTGGAATTTACTTTATCAAGCCAACCCCCACTGCCCTTACTGGCCACACAGTGAGAGCAAGAGGTAGGAGCTGGGGCATTGGGGTGACTGGGGCAAAATCAGAGAACATTTACAGTGCGCAAGAAGAGGCAAGAAGGAATGTTTTTGGAGGCAGCGAGTGGGAGTGTGAGTGAGAGAGGGAGACCTGTCTATAATCCCCATCACCAAACACTCATTCAGTTATCAGAAATATTTCAGAGCCCTTGAGATTAACGGCTAGTGCCCTGTAAACAAAGCCTTATATTGGGAAGACAGAGTTACTGGCAGGCTAGTGCACAGCAGGAGAAAACCAAGGTGGGCCCCTGTCCCTCACAAGTCCCGGCCATCCCAAAACAAAATCCCAGGATGGGCAACAGTCTGAAAGCCATAGTTGCTTTTGTGCCCTCCAGGAAGTGCCAGAAGTACCTCCTAGAAGACCTAGAAGAGATGCCAGTGGATAAAATGGTGGATCTGAGTGGCAGGCAGCTGAGGCGGCTGCCTCTGCACATTTGCTCTTTTCGGGAACTGGTTAAGCTGTACCTGAGCGACAACAACCTGAACCATCTGCCCCCCGAGCTGGAGCAGCTGCAAAACCTGCAGATATTGGCACTGGACTTCAACAACTTCAAAGCGCTGCCCCTAGTTGTGTGCACACTGAAGCAGCTGTGCATTCTCTACCTGGGCAACAACAAGCTCTGCAGCCTGCCCCTTGAGCTGCGGCTCCTGCAGAACCTCAAGACCCTCTGGATCGAGTCCAACTGCCTGCAGTACCTGCCCGAGGTGGTGTGTGAGCTCAGCCTGCTGAAGACCCTGCACGCCGGCTCCAATGCACTGCGCACACTCCC